CGGAGGTACTTGGGATTGCCAGGCCCTTAAATCGTATACATTCGTCCTCTTCCTCAAGCACAGCAGCACTCTGCTTCCTGGGTTTTAGCTCCTTTTTCAGCCTGGAGCGCAGGGTCTTCACCTCATCATTGAGGGCATCCTTCTGAGCCCTCAATGCCACATTTTCCAGCATCACCTGCCTGCAGTCCTCGTTGTCACACTCGGTATGTGGGGAGAAGGGTGGAGGGTGCCCGGGGTATTCCTCCTCATTGTCTATATCCAGTGATGTAGCCATTCCAATGATGGGGTTAGTCTCACGGAGGTCATGGAGCAACTGCAGTGCCACACTATGCTTCAGCCTTGCCATGACCTGCTGTGCCTCATGTCGGGACAACTCAGGGTGGTCATGTTTTACATGACGGTCCAGTCTCTTCCCAGCGTACGAACACCCAGCGATGGGACAGGGTTTGGTCCGAACATTTATCCTTCCACTGGCTATTTTCAGGAGGATTCCCCTCTCCTCCAAGTTCCGCACTGCATGCTTGTGCTTAAGGTGTTTGTTCAATGCCAGATAGAAGAGTCTGCACACCGGGCATTCAGATGACATCCTTACTGAAACACACACCATGAATTTGATCAAAATGATGTTATAGTTCTCCGTTTATATGCGTTAGCGTGATCGGTGGTTGCGACACTGGGTCCGATGCATCAATTCATGGTGCATGGACCAAGGGAGGTATTGGGTTACCACAGGGTCAGATGGTCCCACCTCCGCACCAACGCGGGGCTGGTGATGGCAACATTGGGTCCGATGCATCAATACATGGTGCCCCGACCATGAGAGGGTTTGGGGTACCCCGGAACCAGGCACCACCCCAGCAGGAAACGGGTTGTATGGTCAAAGGAGGAAAGAGTGATAGAACCGGGGTAAAGCAAAGAAAGTGTCCGACAATAGTGACTTGTGAGGCGGCCAGAGAGTCTGTCATATCTCGGTCCTATCCTCCAGGCAATGCTGTGGCCAAAACTGGGCTAAAAACAAAAAAAACAAAAAAATATTTCATCCAGGGAAATTTGGGTGAAAATGAAAAAAAAGTACCCCAAAATAGTGCCTCATGACCCCGCAGGAGTCCCCCGCGGACTCCCCTGACAATCCTCCATGGGCAAAATCATCCAACTCAACTTTTGTGAGAACCAGGAAAACGGGTCAAAATGAGAAAATTGTACCCCAAAATAGTGCCTCATGACCCCGCAGAAGTCCCCTGTCGACTCCCGTGACAATCCTCCATGGGCAAAATCATCCAACTCAACTTTTGTGAGAACCGGGCAAAGGGGTGAAAATGTAAAAATTAGGCCCCAAAATAGTGCTTCAAAATCGGGTAGGGTCACCTGCCAAGTGCCCTGACATTCCTCCATGTCTCAAAATGTCAAACTTAAAGTATTTGTGAGAACCGGCCAAAGGGGTGAAAATGTAAAAATTAGGCCCCAAAATAGTGCTTCAAAATCGGGTAGGGTCACCTGCCAAGTGCCCTGACATTCCTCCATGTCTCAAAATGTCGAACTTAAAGTATTCGTGAGAACCGGCCAAAGGGGTGAAAATGTAAAAATTATGCCCCAAAATACTGCTTCAAAATCGGGTAGGGTCACCTGCCAAGTGCCCTGACATTCCTCCATGGCTCAAAATGTCGAACTTAAACTATTTGGAGAACCAGGAAAATGTAAAAATTATGCCCCAAAATAGTGCCTCAAAATCGGGTAGAGTCACCTGCAAAGTGCCCTCGCATTCCTCCATGTCGAACTTAAAGTATTGTGAGAACCAGGCTGGGGGGTCTTGAGGCACAAAATTAGGCCCACTCAGAGTGCTTGGTGAGCGGATACATTCTTCCATGATTTGCAACAGCCGTTTTTTTTTCTGAGTGCACCCAAAAACTGGGTTTCCGATTTCGTGCGGACGGTAGTCTGAAAAGTATGGATGAATCTTTTTCACAGGGTAGGGGAAATGAAGCCCAAGGACCTTTTCCCCTTCTCCGTTGCACCAACCATCGGAGAAGGGGAAAAATCGGCCCGAAGCGCCAAACACCTGGCCCCTTCTCCTGTTAGCACTTAGTCATTTTTTGAGAATTTTTCAAAACTTCATTTTTGATTATTTTAAGATATAATTAACCGTTTTCTTCACTTTTATTTGCTTTCCACGGGTGGGGGCGCCTAGCAGGCCGCCTATGAGCACCCAAATTCGGCCTGGATCATCCAGGATTTGTGGGCTAAGCTCCATAAACTGACTAAATCACCCAGAGAGGTCACCTTTCTAGCCCAAATATATATAATACAAATACATTTAAATAGTAAAAGGTGCATTTGTGCTCTGCATTACCCGGAATTTGATTTTCATAGCCCCATGATAGTGATTAAAAATCATTTTCGTGGGAAAAAGTGTTAAAACGCCTGATTAAATTATATGCAGGACCCCAGTGAGCTCCAGACTATGTGCATTGTGTTGGGGAACCATATAAATGATAGAATAAATGCATTTAAATGCAAAAATAATGATTTAAAATCATTTTAGGGGGACAATTGTGGAGAGGAGCCTGAAAATGACTCTGCAGCACCCCGGATAACTACCAGTTCATCTGGTTTAAATGTGGTGGTGATAGTGACATTAACTAGTACCCAGTACTGGGAGAGAACCAGGCTACAGCACATGTCTTCTCAACCCAGGAAAGAGTGCTCAAAACGTGGGTAAAGTTGTGTTAAACAGTGGGGTAACATGTTTCAAATGACAGCATGGTGCTGCTTGTTGGCAGGCTGACTCAGTTCACTTGTCTCACACACACCCAGGGGGGGCGAAAGAGGACACATTGACCCAGCAGTAGGTGCTCAAAACGTGGGTAAAGGTGTGTTAAACAGTGGGGTAACATGTTTCAAATGACAGCACACTGCTGCTTGTTGGCAGGCTGACTCAGTTCACTTGTCTCACACACACCCAGGGGGGGGCGTTGGAGGACACATTGACCCAGCAGTAGGTGCTCAAAACGTGGGTAAAGGTGTGTTAAACAGTGGGGTAACATGTTTCAAATGACAGCACACTGCTGCTTGTTGGCAGGCTGACTCAGGGGGGCGAAAGAGGACACATTGACCCAGCAGTAAGTGATCAAAACGTGGGTAAAGGTGTGTCAAAAAGTGGGGTAACATGTTTCAAATGACAGCACACTGCTGCTTGTTGGCAGGCTGACTCAGTTCACTTGTCTCACACACACCCAGGGGGGGGGCGTTGGAGGACACATTGACCCAGCAGTAGGTGCTCAAAACGTGGGTAAAGGTGTGTTAAACAGTGGGGTAACATGTTTCAAATGACAGCACGGTGCTGCTTGTTGGCAGGCTGACTCAGTTCACTTGTCTCACACACACCCAGGGGGGAAAGATAACACTTGTACCAAGGAATAAGTGTTTGAAAGGCGGGGAAAAGTTGTTTGAAATAGTATAATACCTCCAGGGCGCATAACTGCACTTTACAAGCCAGAAATAATGTTTAAATGGTCGGGGAAAGTATTTTTAAATGTCTGGAAGAGAGTTTTAGCCAGTCATTTTGCAGGATATCATTTAACATTGACGCTCTCCTGAAAATGCACAGAATATGTGCATTTGCAGGAGAGCGTCAATGTTAAATGATATCCTGCAAAATGACTGACTAAAACCCCGGAATAAGTGTTTGAAAGGCGGGGAAAAGTTGTTTAAAATAGGCTGATACCTCCAGGGCGCATCACCAAAAATGTACAAGCCAGGGAAGGTGCCTCAATCCTGGGTATACATTTTGTAAATAGTATAATACCTCCAGGGCGCATAACTGCACTTTACAAGCCAGAAATAATGTTTAAATGGTCGGGGAAAGTATTTTTAAATGTCTGGAAGAGAGTTTTAGCCAGTCATTTTGCAGGATATCATTTAACATTGACGCTCTCCTGAAAATGCACAGAATATGTGCATTTGCAGGAGAGGGTCAATGTTAAATGATATCCTGCAAAATGACTGACTAAAACCCCGGAATAAGTGTTTGAAAGGCGGGGAAAAGTTGTTTAAAATAGGCTGATACCTCCAGGGCGCATCACCAAAAATGTACAAGCCAGGGAAGGTGCCTCAATCCCGGATACTTTAGGTCTGTCACTTAGGGTGACCGCACCACTCCGACGCTCCCGAGAGTGGAAGTCCATTATTTGTAAGGCACCTAAGAGGGAGAAGGATAACATACTTTATGTTTAAAACATTATGCAAATGTTCTGTGGTAACAATTTACTACAATATTTTTGTACATAACAAAACATAAAGACATAATATTCCTCTAATTGTTCAACTCAAAATTCCTGGGTAACTGGACTGACCACTTTAACTATTGGAATTTGACTATTAACACATGTAAAAGGATGACTCGGAATCAGCTGGTGAAAGTAACATTTGTTTATTAGAAAAGGGGAGCTGGGAGTGGAGGTTGGTTATGGCAGCAGTGGGAAACAGTTGTTCCAGGGTGGAGAGGCCTGGCTGGTCTTGGGAGTGTGGAAGGCCTTGGATTCCTCCTGGGAGAGACACAACAATGAGTGTGAGGGGGGCCAGAGATATGGAAAAAAAAACATTTTCACCCAAATCACCTCAGAGGTGGGGTGGTTTTGGCTAAACCTCTCTAAAAAGGTCAAATGTCACTTGTTTTGCATCAATCTTGATACAGGGTACTTATTATATGTTGTACTTTGGATTCCTAAAGCTTTTAGTCTACTAACCCATCATCCAAGGGTAGTTTTCACTATCTGTAAAAAAGAATTTTTGGACGGACACTATAATTTACAGTTTTTTACTATGTAAAATCTGAATTTTCTTTAAAATAAAAAACATCTATATTGATTCTGACACTTCTACACCCAACTCACAGATGTAACCTTGCTTTTATAAAAGAAATTATTCATATAACCCTTTTAGAAGTTAAGTTGTAGTCATTTGTTTTGGGCATGTCATTTTCGAGCCTGAAACATGAAAAACAGGCTTGGTGCTTAACAGGTTAAAACCTTATTAGAACCAATAGGTAACGTTAGCCAAAGTTGTGAGAATGTTCCCTGCTAGCTGGGATATCACAATGTCTGTAGCAACTGAATAATGCACATTTCCTATCGAGAGTCATGTTGTTAACACAGCTAAAATAGTAATTAAACAATTAACTGAAATACACAAAAAGTATTGCACGAGTAAAAACAAATTGATGGTTAAATAAATAACAATATACCTGCATTTGGTTATTTAATCAAGGTCAAACTGCAAAGCTGAAAGAACTGGAGTTACAGAAGATTGAGGTGGACAAGCTAAAACAACAACTTCAAGGTATTGTGGAGAAGATCATGGCTCTAACAATTTGTAGTGAACAATTATTTGTGATACTGTATCTTAAACCAGGAAAAAACCCTGTTTTAGCAGACAGAATATGTTAGAATAAATATATAAAATGCAACAGAAATGTATTATATATATATTTAAAAAAAAATAAAGTTCCATAGGTAATGCTAACCTTGATAATGCGAGTGATGATGAAATACTTGTAACAATCAAACACTATTTCTTTCAGACTCACAAATATGTAATGATGCCCCTTTTTTCACAGTACAAGCAGCAGAGCTGACCACTGTGAAAGCCAGGTCAAATGTCACAGAAAACTAGATGGAGAATCTGAAGAGAGACGGAGAAGGTAAAATATCTAAATAATGGGTTGAATTTGTAATATATGTACGTATTTTAAAAACATGATATCACAGTAGGATAATAAAATGTCTCCCTCTCTCTCTCTCTCTCTCTCTCTCTCTCTCTCTCTCTCTCTCTCTCTCTCTCTCTCTCTCTCTCTCTCTCTCTCTCTCTCTCTCTCTCTCTCTCTCTCTCTCTCTGTGAAAAGGAAACCGTTTTTCTTTTGTGTGTCAGTTCTTGTTGAAAAAAGTGTAATTAGTTTTTCCTTAATATGAAAGCTGATAACAACGATGAACAATACGCTTTTTAATCACACCATCCCCACCCTCTGGAAAAAATCAATAATAAAACCTGTCCCCAAAAAACCTTGTCCAAAGGTAAACAATGATTTTAGGCCTATTGCATTGACATCCATTGTCATGAAATGTTTTGAGAGGATCATGGTGCCGCTGCTAAAGAAAGAGGTTGATGTACATTTAGACCCTTTTCAGTTTGCCTATAAGCAAGGGCGTGGCACAGACGATGCTCTAAATAGCATCACACACCTGGTCACTAAACACCTGGAAGACCCTAAGGCATATGTACGCCTACTGTTTGTGGATTTCAGCTCGGCTTTTAACACACTGCAGCCTCACATCTTGCTTCAAAAACTGATAAAGATCAGTATAAATCCTTTTATCTTGAAATGGTATTTTTCGTTTTTAACCAATCGCACTCAGCATGTCAGGGTCAACAATGCCCTCTCAGAGCCCCGGACCATCAGTACAGGAGCTCCCCAGGGTTGTGTGAGCTCCCCGGTCCTCTTCACATTGTACACAAACGACTGTACGAGAATCCACCCGGAGAATTATATCATCAAATTCTCAGATGATACAGCCATCCTTGGCTTAATGCACAAAGGCAGCAGTTCATCGGCTTATCACTCTGAAATAGAGAGATTTGTGCAGTGGTGTGATTTTAACCATCTGGTGCTGAATGTGAAGAAGACTGAGGAGATGGTGTGGGACCCAAAGGCAGTGGGTGACCTTAGGCCGGTGGTTATCCACAATGAACCCATAACTCAGGTCAGCTCCTATAAGTACCTTGGTGTCCATCTAGATAATACACTCAGCTGGAAGGCGCATGTTCAAGGTCTGTGCTCTAGACTTCAGCAGCAGTTGTACTTTCTGCGTCGACTCCGGGCTTTCGGAGTCGACCAGAAGTTCATGTTACTGTTCTATCATGCAGTGTTGGAGAGCATCATGAGGTATGGTATCACTGCCTGGTATGGTAACTTGACAGTGCAGTCAAAGTCACAGATCGCTCGCCTAGTACAGACTGCTATGAAGATTATGGGGGTTAAAAAACACCCATCTCTCCAAAACATATACGAGCAGTCGATTATCAGACAGGCAAAAATAATTGTGTCTGATCCCACCCACATACTCCACCCAGAATTCCAGCTCCTACCTTCTGGTAGAAGATTCAGGGTTCCCAGGAGCAGGCTGAACCGCTATAAGCACTCATTCCTACCTATGTCGATTAAGCTTCTTAACATTCACATGAAATGATATGTAGTCAAATGTAATGAAATGTATTTTTTTTTTTTAATGTTGGCCATGAGGGTTGTGCAATAGGTCGCCATTGTCAGTATGTACGTGTGTGTATTGTGTTTGTTCAAACGGTGTATGACTGATGATATGTGTATGTCTCTTAATGTCCACTATGTTTGTATATGTACATGTATGCACTGCAGGACGGAGTCCAGAACAAATGTCCTTACGGGGACAATAAAGTATATCGTATCGTATCGTATAATCAAAAATATGTGTGCATTTTCTGTTCAGTTTTGTTGAGTAATTTGCATGAAATACACAGTGATAAACAGAGACAGAATACTTGTACCAGATTTTCAACATAAAATAAAGGAAGTGCAATAATTCATGAGAATATTGTGTTTATTTTCAGAATTAACTTCATTTATCACAATTTTTTGAAATACTAAAGATAAATCCTGTTTTTTTTGCCTCAATCAAAAATGACAAGGAGAAACGACCTACATGTTGGTTAGAGCTTATAAAAATGTGAATAATTTCGTTCTGTTAATGTGACAGGGGGAATTCCGTTTGTTGCTTCAAATGCATCTTACATAGCTGTGCTTTATTTGTTTTTAAGCATCTCGACATACACAAGAACTGTATCAGTACCAACTTAAAGTCTCTTTGATTGTCCTTGTTACGTGCCGTAGTGTGTGTGTGGGTGTGTGTGTGTCTTTCTCTCTCTCCCTCTGATTCTCCAGGTGCAGCCTGATTGTCTCCAGGTGCAGCCTCTCTCCCAGGTGCTTCCAATCCCCAATCAGGGCCTCCATATAGGACCTGAGGAAGGCTGCAGTCGGTCTCCCTTTCTCCTCTGGCTGCATGGGTGCAGCACGTCGTCTTGGGTCTCTGTGTGGGACCTGGTTGTCCATTATTGTTGGATTAAATCTCATGTGTGAACAAAGAGATCAGTTTCCTCTCTTTTTTCTCGTGCTGGTCGTTCTGTGTTTTGTTACTCCCCTTCGTACCCCTAGATTTTGGAGGGAACGTAACAAATGGGGGCTCGTCCGATCTTTTAGAGAAAGAGTGAGTATCTGTTTGTGGTTTAGCGTTGATATTGTGTTTGGTAGCATTGGCTGTGAAGTCTCTTGCTGTTTAAAAGCTTCCTCAGTTTAGATAGGGGAGTGTCTAGCTGGGCTGAATCAGTCTTTCCTTCAGGCACTCATTTTTTATTTTGCCTTTTTTATTTTCGGGGTAATCCTGGGTGGGGATTTATTCCCTGTTGGGGGCAGGCGTTTCAGGGTTTCGGCCGCTGATGTTTGCCTTTAAAGTCGCCTCGAGCCCGGCACGCTCCAGAAGATAGTTAGGTAAGTTTGGTAGGCAGGATCTGGGGAAGTTTGTTAAAAAAAAAAAAAAAAAAAAACAATTGTAAATCGCCGTTGATAAGGATGGCTTTTGTTTTGGAGCAGTTTGTGGCCAGTCCTACTGTGGGTCAGCTAGACTGGTGTAGGAAGGTTGATTTGCGGTTAGTTGCTGACCATTATCACGTTTCTGTCTCCTCTGCTCTTGTTAAGAGTGCACTCAAGGCTACTGTGCTAACTGGACTAGTTGAACAGGGGGTTTTGAGTCTGCCTACTTCAGTGGAATCTCCTGGAACGGTGGCCAGGGCTGTAGCAGCAGAGTCTCCTGGTGGAGGCCGCGTTGGTGTTACTCCAGGTGTTCAGAGTGCTACGGAACAGGCAAAACTTTTCAACATGCCTCAGTTGGACTCGTTTTCGGCAGGGTCCTCACCTACGGGGTCTAAATTAGATGCCAGGGTAAAAGTGCGTATGGCTCGTCTACAGTGGGAGAAGGAGGAGCGTGATAGGGATTTTCAGCTCAGGAGGGAGCTGGAGATCAGGAAGTTGGAGGCAGACACTGATGTCAGGAGGGAGCTGGAGATCAGGAAGTCGGAGCTGGAGATCAGGAAAGTGGAGGCAGACACTGCTGTCCGGATGCGTCAGTTAGAGCTTCAGGCAGCTGGGGGGGGTGATTCTGCCGTTACATCGTCTGGTCCTACTGCCTCCTTCGACGTAAGTAGGCATATTTCTTTGGTCCCTGTGTTTCGTGAATCAGAGGTGGAGATCTATTTTGGTGCATTTGAGCGCATTGCTTCTGCGCTGGCCAGAAGACATGTGGGCTATTCTTTTACAGTGTAAGCTAGTCGGCAAGGCTCAAGAAGCTTGCTCTTCTCTTTCTGTCGAGGATAGTTTAGTGTATGAGAATGTTAAAGGTGCTGTTCTCAGGGCATATGAGCTTGTGCCTGAGGCCTACAGGCAGCGTTTTCGCGGCCTGATGAAAACTTCTGGCCAAACTTACGTGGACTTCGCAAGGGAGAAGAAAGTCCTCTTTGACAGGTGGTGTAGAGCTTGTAAAGCTGATGACATTACTTCAGTGTGTGAGCTAATGATGTTAGAGGAGTTTAAGAACTGTGTACCTGAGCGTACGGTAGTCTACCTGAATGAGCAGAAAGTAACTACACTTCAGCAGGCTGCCACTCTGGCAGACGAGTTTGCACTGATACACAAGAGCGTTTTTTTTCAGCGTGATCCTCCTCAGCGAGACACTTATCGTAGAGCTCCTGACAATTACGTTCCCTGTGCCAGTGTTCCAGTGTTAGATCCCAGGCTAAACAGAGCTTGTTTTTTTTGTCATGACCCAGGTCATGTGATAGCAGACTGTGCAGGTTGGAAGCGAGAGCAGACAGCGGCTGGCAAGCACCCAGAAGGGGTGGGATTGGTTACAGCAGTGTGTCATAGTGGATGGGCCACTGTTAACAAAGGGCCTGATGAGTGTTTGAAACCGTTCATCTCTACTGCTTTTGTCTCTCTGTCAGGAAAAGTGGAGGACCAGCGGCAGGTCACGGTGTTACGAGACAGTGGTGGCTCACAGTCGTTCATTCTTGCCAGTGTCCTGCCCTTGAGTGCTGAGTCTGCCTGTGATGCAAGTGCGGTGGTAAGAGGTATTGGGATGGGATGTGTGCCTGCACCTCTTCACAAGATCCAGGTACAGTCTAAACTGGCTACTGGTTTCTTTCCAGTTGCTGTGCTGCCCAAGTTTCCTGTCGACGGAGTGGATTTCATAATGGGTAACGATATAGCCGGGGGTAAAGTGTATCCTACTGCTGAGGTTGTAGACGTTTCAGTCCCTGGTACTGCAGGTGGTGACCTGGCTCAGACTCATCCGAAGGTGTTTGCAGGTTGTGTTTTGACCAGAACTCGAGGTCCCAAGAGATTATGTTTCTTTTGTCTTGATCCTGGTCATCTAGTGGCAGGGTGTGTAGCTTGGAAGCAGCAGGTGGCAGCTTCCAAGCAGTCTACGGAAAAGTCAAAAGACCAGCACCCAGACTACAATATCGTCATCAAGCACAAGAGGGGAGCAGATAAGGTGGTGGCCGATGTACTGTACTGTGGGTGAGATCACGATTACAATGGGTCACGATTCATGTCCAATA